CAAACACAAGAATGACCAAGCACTATGTTTGAAACCGGGATCTCTTTAGCTCCTTGAAGTTCCTCCCCACCAAGGCTTGCACACGATATTGCCTCTGTGAGACTTGCAAGGGTCTTGGCTGAGCAAGAAGCAACAAGCCTTCCTCCTCGCGGAAAGGGAATATCAATTGAAGAAGGCAACTTAGGGGGAGTGGACCCTTATATACAAAACCTCAAGGAAGATGTTGGCACATTACAGTAGACAATTATTGATAAAAATATTTTAATAAGAAAGCTCGACATTCGAGTTTCTGATCTTGAAAAAGAAGTTAAATCAATGTCAAAGCAAATATCTGATCTCCAGACTCACCTTGGAGCATTAACTACGTACTATTTTGATCTGAAAAACAAGTTGGCAACAGAACTTGGAGACAAGTTCAAGACAACAATTAAAGATCGAATCACCACTAAAGGTATCACCATTAAGCCTGCCCAAGCTTCACAGGAAGAACCATCTGTTGTTCTTCCCATTGTAAGGACAACTCGAGTAGTTGATAGATTTGAACATGAGCCTGTTTAAGCTCCTCACATCATTACTCTGAAGCGAGCTCAACAAGTTTCATCTTCTAAGAAACAAAAGTGGTTTTTCAAAAGGAGCTCAGATCAAAATGCTCACGGAAGTCAATCCCAACTCACTGTAACAGAATCCAAGTACGGGGATCGATCAGAGTTAGTGTCGTAGGGTTTTCATGACAAGTTGAAAATGTGTCTTGTGAAGCATAGAAGTTCGAATGTTGAATATTACAAGGATAAAAATGACTTTTGCTTATGAACAAGAGTTGATCTGTCTGAACTTGCTAATGCTCCCTTTGCGAATCCATTAAATAATCAACAGGTAACAAATTTCAAACTTTTTATGGAGAATCAAGTGAAAAAGGATTTTCCTGATATAAATACTGTTGAATCCTTCATCAAGAGCTTTCCAGATGTGATGGATCCAAAGACCAACGAGCCTTTCAAGACAGTGATGTGGCCTCATACTAACAAAGTGAGGAAGATTCCTATTATGTAGAACTTCTTCGATGGCTCTCTAAGAAGTATGCTTTACTCGGTCTATGATGAAACTATAGCCTCTGCTGTCATCAAATTCCGTAAAGGTATATTTCAGTTATATGAAAAGCAGGATCTTCTTCAATTTAGAAAATGGGATATACACTATCTGGCTCAACATCAAATCTAGATTGCTAAAGATATTTTTGAAGCTGCTGCTAAGGAGTATACTTCAATGATTGCTGTGATTATCGAGAAGCAGATGTGGCTTGGTTCAATGGGGAGATCTGATGTGCTCATAATCAAGAAAGACTGAATCAATCCTAGTCCTAAACCAAGGGGGAGATTGTTAGGTCACATTTTGTGGTTTGGGCTAGGTGTCTTTATGTATATATGTATTAATAGGGTCTTGGTCATTTTATGTATGTTTTGGTGTTGTTTGCGGTTGTGAAGGCGTTTACTGCCGTAAACGGGTATACGACCGTAAACACGTGTTTGGCCATGAACCATGTTCAAGGATAGTCTGTTTCTACAAATATTGCCAGAGTCTATTAGAGAATGGGATGTATCAGAGTGTTTACGATTAATGTGTGTGTTCTCAAGGTGTACTAGACGTTTAAGCTAATAAACGTGTGCATTGCTTGATAAATCTCTTTCTTCTTCTTCTTCTTCTCTGTTATGTTCTTGTTCATATTGATTGTTTATTGTTTTCATCATTGGTTTGGATCATTGATTTGGGACTCTACAATTTCTCTTTGTGAACGTAGTTTGAATTTTGGGATTGCCAAAGTTTCTTCCTTTCGTTGAGAATTTTCTGATATCTCTGTTTCCTTTGACGTTTTTGCTCGGCAAGTTGTTTTGAGATTTGGGAATATTCGCCTTACCCTTTGATTCGCTTGCATGAGATTCGCTCTTTCCAGAATGAGCTTCGCTTGGACATTCCTTAGTACCACTCGTACTACACTTTTCAAAACTTGATGGTTTATTTATGGGCTCAGCCACATAACGTCCTCTTGTCCTCCTTGAGGTCCTATCTGATAGACCTATAGTCTCATCTGCATTATCAATTGGTGCAGGCCAAAAGTAATCATCACACCCATCTCTGTTGTCTTCTTCTACAAGCGATGCTAATTCTACTATTTGTGTTTAATCCACTCCATCAACTTTGAAGACTTGATTTGAGACAATTTGGAATTTAGGATAAACCGTAGCTTTTTCTTTCAAATTTTTTTGTTTATTTTGAGAAATGCGAGCGAACTCGACTGAGTTTTCAGAAATAAGGACTTTTACCAGTTCATATTCATTTTTCACAAACTTAGAGCAGTCAACCTCATCCTCTAGAGACATTTCGCTCACATCACTATCCTCGTCAAATTCAGATGTAGTTTCAAGATTGATTTTATTTTCTGAACTTAACTTGGAACTCAACAAGTCAAATTTCTGTACAGTTTCAATCTTGATTTTCAACCTGTCATTTTCATCAAGCAAGTTTCTCAACATGACCTTATGGTCTTTAGACTTAATAAAATATTCAAAATTTTCCGGTCCAATTTTGTAAGCTTCATAGGTTTCGTCTGATGAGACGATAGATTCATACTTGTAACAATCAACATTAATTTCGACTTCCTTAAATTCAAGGAAATGCAAGATCATTCTGTGAATCTTTTTACCTATTTCAGAATCTAAATGCAACTGAGTAATATTTGAATAAAATCATTTAGCAATCAAACAAAAAATGTTTCTCTGTTTCAAAAACATAAAATTATCTCTCTGCAAATAAATTGATTCATCTCTATACATTGACAACTCAGACTCTATCTTCTCAATCCACATCATTCGCTCCTCACTCTTGGATGACGTCCTGCTGATTTGATCAGTTAGGTTAGCATTCTCTAGACGAGTTTGTTTAAGACTATTACTTATACTTGTAAAAGTGAATTTTAGGTCGTTCAATTCAGATTCATAGTTATATACAGGTACATTAACGGATTCAAGAATGGTGTGTACCTTTTTGATAAGTTGAACACACTCATTGATTTTCTCACCAACAGGTTTCGCAGCAAAAAACTTGTCATCTCCTCTTCCCTTCGCATCCTCGCATCCACTATTAATTGTCACACCATTGGTTACCATCAAGCACCTACCGACGAACTTTGTGCTTTCTTCCTTCGCAACGAGTGCCCTGCCATGTGTGGGCTTGCAAACTTCCTCATCCTCTGAGTCAGTTGACTAAATCTCCGCTTGTCTAAACTCATCTTCAGCATTTTCCTGGACAATTTAAGCAGGCATAGAGTTGTTAGTGGTTTTCTTCTTCTTGATCTCTTCTAGCTTTCACATATAGTGAGTCTCATCATCCTCACCATCTTTCTTTTCATTCAGCCTTCTCAACATGCATTCATTTGCTAGATGATTTTTACCGTGACAATAAATGCAGTCATAGCCAGAATCACCTACAAGCTTGTTTTCCTTCTTTTCTTCTTCTTTCCTAGGAGCGTTTTTCTCCTCCACCTTCTCAGCACTATAACTTCCTTGCCAATTTTGGTTCTTGGCAGATGGAATATTGTTCTTTGCAAACCGTTTGGGATTTGTGATCATCAATGCATAATCTTCGCTAGAAAGATCATAGTCAAAGATCTCGTTTTCAGATTCTTCTTCTGTAACATTTTTGCCTTTCGCCATGAGAGCTAAGGATCCCATACCCAAAACCACTTTCGCTTCTTTTGTTACCACACTTTCAAGTGAGTTAAGAATACCAACGAGTTTAGCCAATGTATAACTCTTGAATTGTTCGTGTGCTTTAACAGTAGACACAATAGCTATGCACTCCGATCTGAGTCCATTCATGAAGGAAACTTTTTGTTCGATTAGTTCGTGCCCGATACCATGCTTCACCATTCTACATAGGAGATAGTTGTAGCAATTGAACGTTTGGCTCAGATTTTGAGTAAAGGCCCCAAACTCCGAGAGCAAAAGGGTTTGGGTATCATGCTGAAGATCAGCATCAGTAGAATAAAGCTCTTTAAGCCTATCCCAGATCTCTTTCGTTGTAGTACAAGAACTTAATAAGAGAAATGTGTCAGACTACAGGGAAAATCTAATAACCCTCATTGCTTTGATATTGATGATAAGTTTGTCTTTTTCATCCTTAGGAACTTCCTTCACATCAATGAGCGGTTGGTTGTATTCTTTTTGAGTTTTGATGGTTCTTCAAGTTTCAGTATGAACAAACGGACCTATAGTAATGGCAACCCATATCAGGTAACCATTATCCTCAGATCCAATGACGTAATCTTCAAAATGTGACTCCCAGACTTCATACTCCAGAGGGAACAAGATTAGAATCCTTGTAGTCGATCCTATGCTACTTGTGATGTTGATAAAGTTTACCTGTGAATCGTCGTGTTGCATGTTGACTTGATTTCTATACCTGTCAAGAATCAGACTTGTAAACACGTATTAGGTTAACATCGAGATCACACAGTTACGTCAATAAATCAGTGACGGCTCCAACAGATCCAATATTTGTGGAAACCCTAATGATTTCTTCAAACAGAAGAGTTGCGTATTGAGTACACAGCCTCCTGCTCTAATACCAATTGTTAGGAATAAAATCCTCTTAGTTCGATAGACTCTAACAAGTATAGTCTAAGCACGATTAGAAAATAAGAACACAAGATGTATCAACTGGTGTCGAATGATTAAAAGGCACCACCTCAGAAGAACTCTATGAAGAATTGCTACTATAGAGGCATGCTAGGGTTACAAGAAAATATTAATCAATAATTACCGATTACGGTGCATGCATACACTATAAATACTATAACCCTAATAACAGATACATTTGGATAGGCCCAAGCCATGTACATAATGGACATATACATAATATACCAATGATGCAATCCAATTATTCCCAAAAGGATCATTCTTTTTGACAACTCAAAACTCTCATTTGTGGGTTCGATTTTAGAGGCAATGTTCTGTGATGTGCCTATAGCAAGCAAAATTCTTGAAGGCTACCAGAAACTTCCTGTTTCAGGGTATCGTCCCTTAACTCCAAAGATGCAAACAATTATTGCTAAAGCATACAAGCCCAAGAGAGGGGGTTAGAAAGGGGGTAAGAAAGGGGAAAAGACACAGGGTACTCAAGAGGGCCCATCTACTCAAACTCAAACCCCAAAGAAACGAAAAGGCCAGACTGGTCCACCTGCACCAAAGAGGCGAAAGTTCAAGAAGTCAGTTCGCAAGCCCAAGTCCCCAACTCCAACTGAAATCAAACATTCGGAGTCTACTACTCATTAAGATGTTCGTAGTCCGATCAATGAACCCGTTCAAGATGAAGACACTGTTGCAGTTTCACAACCTGAAGTTCGCAGCCCATCTTTACAAACCTAGAGGTAATCTTTTCGATTCCTGTCTCAGTTCCAATCACTGATGATTTCTTTGAGAATGCATCTATTCCCTCTCCTATTGCTATCATTTCTACCCCGATTATCATTGCACCATGTCTACCAGCTGTCAGTTCGCAACCTCAAACCATTGTTTCTTATTTAACTCCTATGTTCACTGACTCAACTGCCACGACATCAACCACAAACATGACCAATGAACCTCCTGTTACTATCAACACATCTGATGTAGGGGTAGGAGCTTCAGTTTTAACTATTGGTCATTCAACAACTCTAATTTCTTCTCTGAGGCAAGATGATTTAGATACCTTTTTAAAAGGCGATGAATTTGAGTTTAGATCTTTTCAATTCAATCCATTTAGATTTCAGGAGGACAGTGATGATGATGCTCCTGTTACTCAAAGGCAGTTCAAAGTTATCACATAGAAGCTAGATTCCTTAATCAATTCTTCTCAAAATTCTTCAAGTAATGCTTATTCTAAGGCAGCAATTGAGGCCTTTTCCCAGTCTACGACAAAATAAAATCAGGCCAATCTGGATAAAGTGAATCAAGCAGTTTCTGATTCAAAGGCTATGTGCAAAGGGGTGCTTGACAAGGTTGAAAAGCTAGTTTCCGATGCTCAGACTTTTATGACGACTCTACAAATGGCTGCTGAGTCAAATACCTCTACGACAACTGATGAAATAATGGGTCTTCGCACCACACTTCCTAATGAAAAGCAAGCACTTGTGCAGGTTCACACTGATCTGTAAACGAATAACACTAACCTTCGGACATCAATTTCCTCAACAATTGAAAAGCTCCGTGCAGATCTGACAGTTGAAAGCGGTATTATGGACGAACTTGCTGCCAAAACAACGAAAGTCCAATTTCAAGCTACCAAGCTTGCTCATGAAAATAAAGAGATCAACGAGCTTCAGTTTGAACGAGTTGTTTTTAAAAGCGTTGTTGGAGATATTAACGCTTTGCTCTCGAATATTCTTGATGCTCATGATCTATACTTTCAATCTCTATTCGAAGGCATTTGGATGACAAATTTCGTCCTACTCTAGCCATGCTTAATTAAAAAATAGGGTGTTTCAGAGTCCCTTTTCCTTCCAAAACAAGGGGGAGAACCATCAAACGAATCTCAACAACCTCCGAAGACTGATGAGCAAAAACTGAAAATCTCCAAAGAATTGAAGGTTAATATAGCTTTGGGTTCCAAAGGAAAAGAAAAAAATGGTGGATAGTGAAGAAGAAGAAGAAGAAGAAGAAGAACCTAATGAAAATGAGCTCAAAAGATGAAAGGCTCGTGAAGCTGAAATTGATGAAAATCAAAAAATTATCCGCAAAATAGAAGCGAAGGAGCGAGCTGAACGGGAAGCTCTAATCACTTTGGAATGTCGAAAGACTTTGTTTCTACCATGGACCTTAAAGTGAATCCTTAATGAGGCGGTTGATAATCCAAGCATGAATTGGTTGGAGCCTGTAACTTCGTTTGATTTGGAGAATTCGTAGAATTCTCAATTTGATATTCCTATTGTTAGATTAGTGTCTAAGACTATAACTATTTTGGTATGATCTTGACCCGATGGTGCATGGTCCTTTTGGGTTGCCTTCACCAAAGCAACTTGATTGGACAAATAAATAAAGAGAGAGAGGTTATTATGATTTATTAATCTGTTATAAGAATAATATATTAAAGGAGAAATCATATTTGTTTAATTAATATTGGTCAATAATTAATTAGGAATTAATTTTGTGATCAAGTGTAATTAATTATACTAGAGGGGCTGAATTGTAATTATGTGATAGTTACAAAATATGGTAATGGTTATCTGTAACAACCCGTTATTTCAAGTCAGTAAAAATCGAGTCATGTAACATCTTTGAGAAAGGAAATAGAATATCATCGAAAAATGAAGTATTCAAAAACTCTATTTGGAGTACACTATGTGGTAGTTATCGTCTTAAGGTTTCCAAACATATAAATAACACAAAAATCCGAGTTATAACGAAGAAGTTATGCTCATTCTAAGTTTTCCGACAAAAACCAGCAATACGAAGTTGCGTAAAAATGCAAAGTTTCAATAAAACACTTTCCGACCTTAGGTGTCTAAATGAAAGTCGTAGATATCGTTAAACTACAAACATGCATAAAAAGAACGCTCAAATCGGACATCGTATGAATAAGTTATGAATTTTTAAAGAAATTCCTTAATCACGTCATTTTAATAAATAAATAATAAAAATAATTCCGGAATTTGCCAACGGAATCTAAATGAAAGTTGTAGATCGTAGTCTCACCTTCGCGGGCATATAAAGAACGTCAAAAACGGAGTTCGTATGAAGGAGATATGAATTTTCGAAGTTTGATAATTAATTTATATATTTTTTTTATTAAAACTTCGGTATTATCCGAAGGGGAGTCAGCGTCCTCATCCGAGGTACGCGCTGCGTACTCTGTACGCCCCGCGTACCCGAGGAACTTGGCCTCAAACCGTCCACGTCGCCCTATGCGAGGCATCCGACCCGCCCGTCCGACCCGGTCCCATCCGACCGACTGCCTGAGCCGTCCCATCCGAGCCGAGGCAGTCGAGGCTTCGGTCACGCATGACGTACGCGTACGCGCTGCGTACGAGCGTACGCCCCGCGTACGTGGCCTCTCAGGCCCCCTATAAATAGCATGCGAGGGTTCCCGGGAAAATGGCCCATTCTCTCTCCTTTTTCTTGCGTTTTACCTCGTTTTCCGTGCTCGCACTACCCCGAAGCCCTGGTCATTTTGTGCAAGTCCCGAAGGTCGATTTTTCTCCCGAGGAATCCCGAGATTTCCGAGGAAAATCCATTTCCCGAGACGAAACTCTGCCCGGTTTTCCATCTTGCTATCTTCAAACTTTCAAGTGAGTTCATACCCCTTTCAAACACACTTTAAATACATTTTAAATGCTTTTATACTCTTTTAGGGGGGAATACAAGTAAACATACGGTTATTATCGTGTATTTTATAAAGTTTCACTTCACTTGTTTTATCGAATAAATCACTTGGAACTCATTACTATTATGGAAAACTCTTGTCATACTTTGCGTGCATTAGACATTATACAAAGTATATAATGATTTCAAAGTAACTTTCATTGTTAAGTCGTTTTATACATTCTAAAAACTTATGATTTTGCTTTGTCAAACATTGTGAAAAAGGATAAACTTTGCATAGAAAACTATCACTTTAATACGGGCTTAATTGAGAATCCATGAGACGTGTATATCTTCAAACGTTACTTTTCTTTATTAGAAAGTAATGCTGCAAGTCCTGTCTATAACCAGAGTCTCCCGTTCGGAGAACGTGTCAAATGTGTATAGATCTATACGGGAAGTCATGATCCCGCGCCCTGACTGTTAGCTACAGTCCGTCTTTTGGGGTGACAGTTGTCATAACGCTGCGACGCCTGAAGAACGTCGTTACAGGCATATTATGTTTAGTATGGTTATAAAACTCATCGGATATACAATTATTATGGTATTATGCTTTTATGAACGAGTAGCTATTAAAACTATTCTTCATCTAATAAATGCGATCTTCGTATAGTTTTACTATATAAAACTATGACACAACTTTTGAGAACGTCGGTTTCTTGCGATTTTCGGTCTTAGAGACTGCCATTTATGTTAGGAAAATAAGGGTTTCTCCTGCATACAAACCAAACAACTAATAGGAAAATAAGGGATTTTCCTGGTGCAATTATTTACAACTTATAACACGAACATTTATATGCATTTCATACTTTTATAAGAAAATAAGGGTTTTCTTGGAAAACACAACAACTCGTATCTCAACCATTAGGGAAAATATGGGATTTTCTGGATCTAATACATTCACTTTCAACACAACAAATCACAACTCTTTACATTTGAAATGCTGCGTTTTCTGGAAAATATACACCCATTTTGGAATGGCATCCAATTTTTCTAAACTACTTATGAACTCACCAACTTAATTGTTGACACTTTTTCTTTGAAATAACTTGTATTCTCAGGGAACCGCTAAGCAGGTTTGGGAATCAACTTTTGGGATTAACGCGCTGGCGTTAATTACTTCTTTTGGATGATGTTTATGTATTTATCTTTTGAACATGTAATGAATACAATTATGTAAACATCTTGGAAACTTTAATATATATGGTGGTGTGTACTTTCCTTTCTATGAACTGTTATGATACTGAATATGACGTCCTCCGCCCCCGAACGTTTCCGCCGTTCTGGTTTGGGGGTGTGACAGATTGGTATCAGAGCTTTGTTTATAGGGAATTAAGTATATCAAAACCATTCCTTTTTGATATACAACTATAAACTCAACTGGGCAAAAACACTCTGAGAAAAAATTCATACTTTTGAAAGTAAACCTAATTAGTTTTAAGGTAAGCATGCACTCATTTTTATACTAATAACAGTTTCATAGTAAATAACTTTAGAAGTATTATAAATAAGTTGTGCAGCACAGGTACGCCTTGGGACATGTAATCGGAACTGGGAAGAATATAGCCTGATCAACTATATTTGTCCAAGAGCCGACTAACGTATGCCAAGGAGTGTCTGTAATGGACAACAAATTTAAAACTTACCAAAAGCATATCGCTAAAGAATATTGAGGGAGTATTCGAGTGCCGTCAACCATTAAACTTAAGGGTAAGTTTCATGTGCTCTAGCTTATAGTAAACTTTTAACTCTATTCTCGTACAGTCTAAATGGCGGGATTCCATCACCCAATGACCCCTACTACCCCAACCAAGGTAATGGAGGGTGGATTGAAGAAGATCCTGAAGAAGACGAAGAGCCTATAGAGTTGGAGGGAGGGGATGACTCTGGCACGGATTCGGAGCCAGAAATTATAAATCCACCAATCCCACAATCTCCCGTCCACGTGAGGAATTTCCAAGGACCCACTCCAGTGTGGGGAAGTCACCTCCATCATTGGAGCCAACAACAAAGCTTACGCCCTCCTTACGGCATGTGCCGAGACTTCTATGATGTGAGAGGCGGGGGATCAGCCGACCGAGCACTTCCGGTCATGGTTGGCAAACTCGCCAACCAGTGCTATCAATCCGGAGTGCAAGCCAACCGAATCCGAGAGGTCAATGTGGAAGTACAAATCCACACGGCCGATATCAACCGCCTAGAGTTGTTGCAGAACGACATCCACATTCGCGCCGAAGCGTTTCAAGCACAAGCAAATGCGGCCTTCGCAGAATTAAGAGAACAACAAGCTGCGTTTGATAGACGCCTCATGGAGTCGAAGCAGTCCGACACGGAGTCGAGCTCCAAACGCAAAGCGCACCGCAAGTAGTACTTGCCCAACTCTCAAATTTTGTTATAAATTAGGACTTCGGATAAAAGTATTATTTTCTTTAAATTGTTCTGTAATCGGAGGCCTTTAGAAAGGCCAAGA